ACTAGTTGAGGTTTCCGAGCAGTCTTCAAGGGGAATCCCATATAAAGTGCAGTCTTCAAGGGGAATCCAATATAGAGTGCATTGTAGTAATAAGAGGAGGAACTTTTTTAGCTTTCAGTAAATACATTTAACTAAATAAATTTCCACAGGCACAACACTGGTGAGAACTAACTTTGCAGGAGGAAGGGGCACAATAGAAGAAAGTGATGTTAAAGAGTGAGATGTATTTGAACCGGATGAGTAAAATCTTAATGTGCAATTTTCTCCAGTAATACATGAATGACATTTCCAAACACCAGTCTGACATTAAGGTTATGCTCACATTAAGAGGAAATACATGGCTGATTAATTAGGAGCAAGTAACTGAATGACAGCGTTAATATAGCATTTATAAATATTAAAATTGGGCATTAATTTTAAACCTAGTTTTTTCACAGTGAACACTTGGCCCAATAGATGATTTGGATAATTCTGAAGAATGAACTGAGAGCTTGGAAGTGATCCAAATATCTTGATGCAGTTAACCACAAAATAAAGAGTTATTAGCTTATCATAATTGCAGCCAATTTTAAAGTAACAGAGTACTCCACTGTGGATTGCTGCAAGGAAGTGGAACAAAGCGTGTGAAATGAACAGATGGATTTGATTTTAAACAAATTAAGCTCACTCCCTGGGATGTAACAAGTGATTTTGTAGTTTTCCATGTTATGGGTTAACTTCCCACTGTGACCTTCTCATGCTGCTTGGTAATTTTTTTTCTTCTTGTCATTAAGCACAATCATTGAAAGAAGATGAGGGCTTATTATATTCAGTTCTGAAACTCTCATCTTCAGCTTTCAGGTCTACAAGGACTACTTCATACAAGATAAACTTTACCTACAGCAAAATGAATGTGCCTGAGCTGGTTCTCGTATGCTAAATTGCATAATTTCCTGCCTGGGATTTGATTTGTGAGTAGATAATCCATCTTGTGTGAACTGGCCCCTAAAGCACCCTGAAACATGAGCAGGCCGTGAATTCAGCCATTGCATTGCGGAACTGGTTTTCATCCTCATGTATTCAAGACAAAACATTGAGCTAACTATGATAATACCAGCCTCTAAACCTTTGATAGGTTTATCCCTATCAAATCCTCATATCAAGTTGGATCAATACTGTATTATCTAAAAATTAACATGTCTGGTACTCTGTGATGCTTCCTGCCAACCAGGGAATAGACCTTCCACTGGTACCTTCTAATATTTCATAATGATCATGAGTGAAAAGAATGCATGGAATACAGTTTCTTTAACAGGTAGCAGATATCACAGAAAATGCTTTATTTAGTAACTTCAGACTTTCTACTCCACTCTTCTCTTATTACTGCAAGTATTAAAAATCAGTAGAAGAGTAATCAATAAATTTAAATTACAAACCACAGAGGGAGAAAGAATAGCAAATTAAATACTATGATTACAGAAAGTCTCTTCCAAACTCTCGGTATTGCCACATTAAATGTCCTTGTGTACCAATACCTTATCATCAAGAAACCACGTGATAGTACTTAGGCAGATTGACAGAATCTCACAATCTGATTCTAAATCATTTAGAGAAGGGGTGTCCAACCCCTTGCTGGCTGGGGAATTTTGAGAGTTGAAGTCCACAAGTCTTAAAAGTTGCCAAGATTGAACACCCAGACTCAAGAGCTTTATAGCACAACACCATGTCTGATTTAAACAGATCTCAATACAACACAAAAGACTATATATAGCCTTTACAGAAGAGAAAAACAGGAAAAGTCTGAAAGCTTATCCCGACAGTTAGAAAGGAAGACCTGCCTCCTTGAGTCAGCTAATCTGCTTCAGGAAAGTCAGGTGGCATGTACAAAAATGCTTCTGAGAACTACAGTATATAAGTAAGAAAGTTCGCATGTAGGTTAAAGAGATAAAACCAAGCAAAATTGAAGAACATTCGAATCAGCCTTATTTGCTCCAGAAATGTCAGTTGCTGGGTCTACCTCCCCAAATTAAAAACAAACAAACATTGATTAGAAGTTTGTGGGCGAGAAGACATTGCTTTACCCCGGATACTATCTTCATAGCATCAGCAGCAGAAGTACAGATTGGGCATCTGGAATCAACGCAGCTATGTATATGCTTTACATGGGATAAGATCTCCTGCTGCTATGTTTTGCTACTTTCTGGTAGCAGAAACTGGGAGTGGAAGAAACAATTGGGCCCTTTCTACTGCTAGTAAGTGCTTGTTGGCTATGTGGATTTCCAAAACAAAAGCAATCCTCATGCAGCAGGAATATTTGTGATAGAACTAGACAACTATAGATAGAAGATATGAATGGGCGCATCACTAAGCTACTCTGCACAGGCACCGCCGATCAGTATCTATCTCTTTCTATCTGATTGTTGGAGTTGTTAGGGTTAGGGTTAGAATTGTTTCCTTTTATTTGTTTACTTATTTTTCACTAAGCAATATTTTTATATCCTTTTAATAAATAAAACAATAAGTTTGTTTACTTGTTTTCATATTTATCACATTTCCACACTGCCCACCCCACCTGAATGACTCCATCCTCTGCCATCCAAATTGGGCTGTATTCTGTAACATTACTTACAGAAGATCATTTGTCCCATTATTGCATATTACGCTAACCTTTTAGCAGCACAGGTAGTCCTCGACTTACAACAGTTCATTTAGTGATGACTCAAAAGTTACAATGGCACTGAAAAAAGTGAGTTGTGACCATTTTTCACACTTGATAGTTGCAGTATCCCCATGGTCATGTGATTTACATTCAGATGCTTGACAATTGACTCACATTTATGTTGGTTGCAGTTTCCCAGGGTCATGTGATCTCCCCTTTTGCTTCTGACAAGCAAAGTCAATGGGGAAACCAGGTTCACTTAATTTAACAACTGCAGTGATTCACTTAACAAATGTGGCAAGAAAAGGGGTCAAAACTCACAACAAATTTTTCTCTTAACATAAATTTTGGTTGTAAGTTGAGGACTACCTGTATATTTAGGGACCTCAGTCCATTAGAGAGAAAAAATTACTGCAAAAACAAGCAAATATGTGACTTAAGCTGCCTAAGACATCATCTTCATATTAGTTCATCCAAAGAACCAAGACTTCCAAACATTTAAAAAACAGCAACTAGAAATTCTTTTTAAAGTTGTAAGTATCCTGCTGTGTACAAACACATTGAAAAATAAATAGAGACCATCCCTTCAGGAGCAGTAAGGTTGTGCAGAGAAGGAGAAAAAGAAGATAGTTTGAAATATTTACCTCTTTATAGCTTGATACAGAGCAGGATTTGAAAGTGGCTGAAATGTGGGAACCTCATACATCAAAAATGGCATATCAAATGAAAAACTCAGTCAGCCATTTTCATATAGATGCATATCTGATACGATATGTAGACACTGCTCATTTTAAAGACAATGCATTCTAGGCCATCAAGAATACTTAATATTTTATATTCCAGATGCAAAGTTATATATATTAGGACTATTATCATTTCATGCTGCTATAAAATGGATTCAGCAGAATGAGCATGTAAATTGGAAAAAAAAAAAAAGTAATGTCTTTTCAGGCACTGGATGCCAGAAAGAAAATTTGCTCCCAAATGGAAAATGTTGTCCATAATTAAGCCAACATTGCTCTGAGATCTTTCTTAAATTTGATTCTCAGGCGACGTTGTTTTGAATCAGTACAGAGAAGCTGGTTACTTATCACAAGATATATTTAAGAAACAAAATTAACATAAAAACCCAAAAGTTTTCTTTTTTCTTCTATTATGATTAAATTTATCTTGTGTACCAGTTGTACAAAATTCATGTTATCTTTTGAAGAGATGCATTTTGGTTTCAAAAAGGTCATTCAGAGTGGGAATAGACACATACTACATATCTCTCAGCACCTCTTTTGAAGAGCTGTATCTTTTTTTTCCTGAGCTCCCTAAGTAGTCCCAGTAAATCTGCATTTGGCTCACCTTTTCAGCTTCAGATCTGAAGCACAGTGTATCTGCAATTAATATTACAGTGGAACCTCTGGTCACGACCATAATTCGTTCCATAACTTTGGTCTCAAACCGATTTGGTCGTGACCCGAACCTAATTTTGGAAATTTGGTGTTTACAAAAAAAAAAAAAAAAAAAATGGCACAAAAGGGGGAAAAAAAATTATGGATTTTTTGGTTGGAACCCGATTTGGTTATGGTCAGAAGCGTTCATGACTAGAGGTTCTACTGTATAGCCAAATTCTTCTTAAAACCTTAACTGTATTCATATCCTTTCAAAGTAGCAAAATTCATGGAAGAATGGAACAGCTCAAAAGCAGGAAGGGTAATCAACTACAGGTAATCCTCAATTTACAACCATTCATTTAGTGACTGTTCAAAGTTACAATGATGTGACTTATGACCATTTTTCCCACTTACCACCATTGCAGCATCCCAGTGGTCATGATCATAATTCATATGCTTGGCAACTGGCATTCATTTATGACAGTTGCAGTGTCCTGGGATTGTGTGATCACCTTTTGCGACCTTCTGACAAGCAAAGTCAACAGGAAAGTCAGATTCACTTAACAACCATGTTACTAACTTAAGAACTGCAGTGATTCATGTGTGGCAAGAAAGATCATAAAATGGAGCAAAATTCACTTAACAACTGTCTTGCTTTGTAAGGGAAATGTTGGGTTCAATTTTGGTTGTAAGTCAAGAACTCCCTGTGCTCATTTTCTGATGCAGTGTGGTAAACAACTATTTTCTATCAGTAATAGGAGTACTACACTTTATAAAATTATAGATATATTTCTGAACTGATCTGTATTACCTTTGTTGGATGCAACATTCCTAAACAAATTTTACAGGTGCTCAAAATAGAAAACCTTAGCAAATACTTCCCAGTTTTAGCCTAGCTTATAAGTTTTCAACTATATACTGAATTTTTTTTCTTTTAAATTATTTAAGGGGCATTGGTGGGGGGGAAAGAAAGGAGACTGTTTATTGATACTAAAGCCTTTACTGTAATAAACCAAATATATTTACAATTTGTACAAATGTTTGATCTTCAACAAAACATACAAAAACCCATATCCCAAGAGGCAAAAACCAGGAAACAAGTTTATCCAAGATACCACTGTTCTACACAAGACAGAATGCAGGTGGAACCGCAAGTGCTGAAACGTCATCCCACATCGTCAAGCAATGAGCATGATTCTATGATGTCATAAAGGAGGGGCCCAAAAGGCTGCAACAGACTCTGCTGTTTAAATCCATTAAAGCTATGCTACATTAGTCCTTCTTGCTAGATGTTGAGGAGCGTCATGGGAAGATGTGGGAACCAAGTTCTTCGTTTCATCATTTTAAAAAAGTAGAGTCCTTCTACATCTACAGTTTAAAATCATTTTGGCCCAGTTCAACTCTTTTTAAGTTTCCAACACAATTTCTCAGTAGATAACTTCATAGACGGTAGCCTTCTTGTCTCCAGATCCAGTAACTATGTATTTATCATCAACAGAGATATCACAGCTGAGCACAGAAGATGACTCTTTGGACTAGGAGAGAAGAAACAGAAGTATAAGGCTCTATGTATGCACACCTATGTTCTTCCCTTGCTCCCACCCACAATGCATCAAGATTTAAATTCTAATGTGAGTGCAACATGTCATTTTTAAAGGTTGAAAATGACATGTCATCTCAAAGAATTCTGTTTTTAAACTTATTTTATATGCAAATTATAGTTCTTACCTGGAATATACTGGCACCATATGGGGTCCTCCAGGCATTTAGGAGATTATCTTTCCCGGTACTTACAAACCATTTGCCTGGAAAATGATCATTAATGAGAACACTTAGACATACTACATAGACATACACTGTATTCATAAAAGCTCTCTTCTGAATTGTTTACAGGCTTACTTAATGCAAGCAAGTTTGTGACTCCAACATCACAAGGGAGAGAAGAGGACAAGGGAAAGAGAAAGTATGAAAAAGTGTCAAAGAACACTTCACAAAACTTAATGCAACTTTTCATTTTGACAAATGCTTGCTGGCATAAGTAAGCCACGGAGTTTCTGAAATCAACTTTTCAAGTGATTCTTATGAAGTGATTGAAATACAAGATTTAACTAAAAGGCCATAACTGACAGGTCCAGTGAGTATCAAAACTTTGGAGCTTCAACATGTTTTAGCTTCACAAGCAAGGAAAACTCTATGCTACCAGCTGTTTTGAGATGTTGCTTTGATTCTATTGTATATTTATCAATTTTATATCCTGCTGCAATCACAGGATTCTCAATGGTTCATAAGGTCAGAAAAGTAAAAAAAACCAATGTATATAGAAAGATAGGTATCTGACAAATAAAACGAAAGCACATCAATGCTCCCAAAGTTCTTCAGAAAAGGACAATGTTAAAGACATACAAATCTCCACAAAAAGTCATCCCAGATAGCTGGCCACATCATTAAAAAAAAAAAAAAAGCTGACCCGTGTTGAGTATTTGCGGCAGTTTAGTTGTTTATAAGGGCATGGACCACTGTAGTCATGCCATCTATTCCAAGTAAGGCTGCAACTGGCATATCAGTTAAAATTGGCAAAAGACTCCACAAATTGATCCAGCAGGAATTGCAAGTCAAAGAGTACTCCAAATTTGCAAACTTCCTGCAGGTGGCTAAGAATATCGTACAGTGACCCTATCCACTATATTATTATTTTGTAAATCTTCTCACATCATTGCTGGGAGAACCACCAAGAAGAGAGCTACATTTATTTTCTACTTCTTAAAGCAAAGTGGAATGAAAATATTCAAGTGCCTTGCCTTCTTTTAAGGGCAGCTATGGCTAATTTATACAGATGTTGATGGCTGTTAGACATTATTCCTCTAACTTACCACAGTATGCAAACTTGAGTGATAGCACACAGCTTTCATGCAGATGAAGCTGGTATTTGTCTGGCTTATTTACATGCAGTACTTCCACATTACTGCTTTCCATTCCCACAGCCAGCCATTCACCAGTGGGACAATAGCCAAGGGAAAATATCTTTAAAATAAAAAGAGAGAGCTATTTACAATCCCATCCCAGCAAAAATGGTAAACAATGAGAGAGAGGGAGAGAAAGAGTGGGATGGGGTGCAGGGAGAGAGAAATGGAAACTGTTTTGCATATATTCTGAAACATAGGATAATGATTTAGAGCTTGAAATCAGGACCAATATACATTTCTAATATGTATATATTAATCCCAGAATAGGTGGACCAGTGATAAACAGGCTTGTCACCTATGAAGGCATTTTGCTGCATTTTATTCTCCTTTCACCTAGCCTAACTGAAAATGCCAAATAAGATTTATATATGCACTCACAGTTTTAAAGATTGTATAGGAAACACTCCTTTTTTCCCCAAAGAAATTGTCACAAACAGGTGGTATAAATTCCTAAATACATCCTTGTTAGAAGTGGTGTTTATCCTCTAATAAATGGCTTCCTTAATAGTAGCTTGAGACTATAATAACCTATATAGATAATAAGGTTAAATTGTGAACACAGTTAAGCAGTACTTCTGAGACAAATGTTTGGTCTCCTCCCAGAGTTACTAAATGTATCCAGTATATGAAGGAATTGAAATGTGTATTATTCACTGTCTTAGAAATGCTTTAAGAAAATAAAAGACACCTGGGATGTGAAGTCATGCTGCTGGAGCTGCCTTCCTTCTCTCAAGTCCCAGGATCTGACAGTGTTGTCCAGGCCTCCCGTCCAGAGCTTGGTACCATCATTAGAAATGTCAATACAGCTGGCTCCATCTGTGTGGCCCTGGAATTGCCTGATAAAACAAACCAGATTGAATAATGATTTCCTGCCAGAACTCAAGGTAAACACTGTTGTGTTGTTAGTTTTGGATGCTGCCTGAGTATCATCTTCTCTGCATTAGCTAATGTGCATGAAGCAGCAATCTTGCACCCTTCCCTACTGTGAAATGAGCTCCCTGTATGCAAGTTTTTTTGTGGCTTTTTTTTTTTTTTGCAGGTGCCAAAGCACATGGAATGAACCGCAAATTTGGGTAATGAGAACCAAACATATGTGTGCATTGATCTGTAAAAGGTGGAAGACTCTTTGAAAAGCTGTAATTCACTACCACAACACCTGGAAATAAAAATTGAACAGATTACCAAGCTAAACTCAATATACAAAAGGCAAATTGGCTCACAGAGAAAGCCAGTTATTTATAGGCTTTGTGGAGCTGCCGAATCAAGGACATTTTTTAAAATGCTTAAAAGATTTGGCTACATAAACACAAGGAGGAAGCTATCCAGAAACACGACCTGACTAAGCCTTGCAAAACTCTGACCTAAGTCTGTCATCATTATTCAACATTTTACATTTTAAATGGTTATAATTTTAATATAAATTTTATGTGTGAAAGCCCTTGTTCTCAGTAATAAAAACTTACTCAAGTATATATTATACCCTAAGATTGAATGTTTAAAGGGCTTGCTTTTTTTTCCCATCAGCAATTAGCTTTAGTTCCATGACATAACAGCAGCTGAAGAACTACTATCCTGGGATAAGCTATGAATTGGCTTGATAGACCCTAGAGCAAGGGTGTCAAACTCCTGACAACATGTTGTCATCACATGATGTATCACAACTTTCCCCCCCTTCGCTAAAATGGGGGTGGGCGTGGTCAGTACGTGATGCATCCGGCCCAAGGGCTGTGAGTTTGACACCCTTGCCCTAGAGGCTCTCTCGCTCTCTCTCTGAAAGTGAAAGGGGTTATCAGTCAGTGTACTCCTTTCATTTCTACAACTTGACTGCAGGTAAGGCTGAATGAATCACAAGTTCAACCAATACTTATGCTCAGAAAACCGGGCAAGAACTCAGGTGGTTCAACAATAGGGTTGAATAGCCCTTCAGAAATAATTTGGAAAAGGTGCAGCTCTATGATTCTGAAAAAGATGCAGTTGCTTTAAAAGGCTGAAAACAATGCTATGTTTGTATTTCAAAATAAATATCCAAATTATTCCCAAAGCACAACTTAAATATGTTATATGACACTGAGCAGAGACCTTTGCTTTTAGAAGCTCACTATGGGGATTTAAACTTTGTTTTTTCTGTCGGCCACATAAACTAAAGTAGAAGTATTTCCCCTCCAAAACTTTATACATGTAGAATATATGTCATTTAAATAGAATCTTATCCAACTATTAATTGCTTGTACTTTGGAGTCATGTTATGAGATAACTTCATGACAAAGTATTTTTTTTAGATTCATTCCTCTTGTACCCATTCACTCAATTGGCTTAGTCATATAATTAGCACCTATTGTAGTAAACACTAACATGAAAAAGCTTCAGATGTTTTGTGCTACTATTGTGTAAGTGTTGGCTTCCCTCATCCTACACACAATGTGAGAGAGCACCTGTATTGTTTTATTAAGAGCATGATTAAAAATATACCAAAAAAAAGGAAAAAGGATTTCAAACAGAGGAAACATTAAAACCACCACTCGAGGCCACGAATGGCCTCCAGATGTTATTTTTAGTTGCATTTTAAAAATAAAACAGTCAAATTAAGAATGTCGATGCTGAATCAGATTGTTTTTCTAAGGTAGTGAAAAAGTTCCAAGGCATTGAAAGAAAGTGATAATTATTCAAAAAGGAAAGCCATGAAAGAATTTGAAAAATGTTTTATTGCTGTTTTGTCTTTTTTCCAATATACATATCTTATATTTCAGTACCACATTCCCTTTTCAAAGGATCTGATCTACTGTGTAATTAGCACTTGCAAAAGTAAAGCCCAAACCCATTTGTAATTCCAGATGAAGAGAAAAAGAGATACAGAAGATAAAGGCAGATATAAATAATAATTTCCGCTTGAAATACTGGCCAAAACTTTCCAGTATAATACACAGTGCCATGTAAATTATATTCAAAGGTGGTAACTGGACAACTATTTCAAGTTAACCTGATTTCAATAGTACTTGGGCGAGTCAAACATCTAAATGTGTTGCTCCCAAAGACAATTATTGATGCTATAGCTTATAAATAAGATGCATACACTGTATGTGACTAAAAATTTGGCATGGCAAAAGTAGAAATGCACAGCATCGGTTGATAGCATCAATATTATCAAATAACTTTATGAATATAGGTATCATTGAGTTTTCAATGCCTTCAACTTTTTGCTATTCTACTTTATGGGCATAAAAAAGAATAAATTAAACACAGAGCTGTCCATTTTCTTTTAAAAAAAATACACAAGCTGCAGAACTTAAATTAATTTGATTTTTGGCCCATCAGTATAAGGTTCACAGTCCTGCTTGTAATTAAGATGACTCATTCAGTCTGTAAGTGTCCAGAAATGCTTAAGTGGCCAAATGCCGATGCTTTAAATAGCCTCTCATTATGAAGGCAGGTGCAAATGTCAGCTGTGCTTGCTGAGATTTATTGTGCATCACTGCCAGTTTTTTGTGTGATATATGAATAGTTGGTTTTGTGGTCCACCAAACACTGTCATATTACAAAGCTATTTTGGACTGTTAAAAGTTGCTGCCTTGCCAAAGCACTCCCACCAAGGTGTACCAAAACATTCTTTCTTTTAATCTTGAAGGCTTGGAAGGAAATTACTTATGTGAGCATTATGCTAATTACACACCAGCCTTGCAAGCTTGGAAATATTAGAGGTTGTCTGCAAAAAGAAGCCACATAACCTAAAAAAGGGAGGAGGAAGAAACCCCTGTCTAGAAACCAACAAAGGCACCAAGAAAAACAGAACATTATTTGAGCTAATTCTGATTTTTATTTATTCTTTAGGTAAGTGAATGGTTTGAGAGCTGTTTCATTCATTTACACTTAAGTTGACAATTATTTGAGGATAGTCTTAAATTTAATTAACTTAAATTGTCTTACATTTAACAAACTGTTAAATGTGTGTGTGTGTGTGTGATGGGGGAGATTAGCCTATCACAATACAAAGTATTTAATGCCAGGAGACTGAAGCTCCTAGACCTCCAAGATTAGATGCTATCAAACTAGTATTCAAGGTATCATAACAAAAAGGTTTTTGATTTCACACTAAGGCAACAGGAAGAGAGTTCTGACCGTCTAAAGGGTAATTTTAAATTTTCAATAAGCTTCATGAAACAGGACAGGCAAAACAATGAGAGAGGTGCCAGAATATAGTGCAGATAAATGAAAGTTTTGTTATAGTTTTTTTATTGCCTTGGGTAGAAGCTGTTTTGGCTAGCAAGAGGGTTAGGGTTGAATTAGGCATCCAGCCTAATTTTCAGTGAGAATTTGTAGGAATGGGGGTTGGGTGGGGAGAAAAGCATAGGAGAGAATGAGAAATGGGACTGTGTTGTAAGGAGGAGAATGAGAAAATGTTAAATGTTATGAGAAGTTGTTGACAGAAGGTCAGGCCAAAAGGTGAGGAATGGTGGATGTGTTATTGGAGATAGATGGACACAAAATTGAATCATGAGACTTGGGCATAAGATTTGGAGAGCTGTGGTGAGGAAATTAGGGATAATTCAGGTTAGCAATTTTCTGATGGCCTTAGTCACTAAGGTCATGAATGGAAAATATAGAAGCTGCCATTATTATTTCAGCAGCTACTAGAGAGAAAAAAGAGGCCCAATCAGGAAAAAAAAACATGCACACACACGTGCGCGCACACACACACAGTTCTGGCAGAGGTTGGTAAAGGAGGTGGAGGCTGTGATGAAGATTTGACAGCCGGCACTGAGAGACCCAATCTGGGATCAGACGCTAGAAAAGTAATAGGAACAGTAGAAAGCCCAAGCCCAAGCTGATCTGACACTGGCTGAAGATAGAAATGGAAGGAACTTCAAATGGCCAGGAAGCCCTGGTTGAAAGAACAGGCTAATCTGGTGGTGGACTTTGGAATTCAGCTCCCAGGTGAGAGGTAGGGAGAAATGAAGACCAAACTATGGAAAGAGGGAACCAGAGAGAGTAGAAACCCTTGTCCTACTATGATACATTGATTGCATGAGTGCACTAGGAACTATGAGGAAGGTTTCATTGGCATTGCTGTAGGTAGGTAGACAAAAATGCCTAAAATTGGAATGTATGGCAGAAGGCACGACTATGTGGATAAATGATAATAAACTATTTGAATGGGGAGGACTGAGTGGAGTTTTGTGACATCTGTAGAAATTCCCTGGATATTATGGCCAAATGGGATATCTGGGTGGTAAGTGCTGATGAAAGGAGGAGGAACAGAATTGGGCAAGAGGCCAGGCATTTATTGCAACAGTGAAGGGCAGAGGAAGGTACAGCAAGGGACTTCTTTAAAACTTTTAACATGTTGATTTATATATATATTTAGAAATATTTTAGGAATATAACTCCTAAATGTAATCTGAACAAATTATAAAAGCCAACATTAATATTGATATTGGATCCTAATCCCAGGGGTGGGTTCTACTTACCTTTACTACTGGTTCGCATTGTGCCCGTGCACGCTTGCTTCTGCGCATGCACAGATCACCTATGATGATGTCCGGGTCACTGGGCGAAGCCTCCTGCTGGTTTTACTACCGGTTCTTACAAACCAGTCCAAACCGGGGGCAACCCACCACTGCCTAACCCTAACCACTAACTTCAAACTGATGGGTAGTTGCTTGGATGTAAATATCATGGGGAAAAGGACTGACCCTTTTATATTTCACATTGGAATAAGTACAGAACAAAGCTTTCATCAAATATATTAAATGGAACTATCAACTCAAGTAGAAGAGCCAGTTTGCAGTCCCCAATCTTTGGAGGCAGCATTTTTGTTCTCTTTCTCTTTTTGTGTATTTATATTTTTTTAAATTGACATGCTGATAGTCAATTATACAAAGTTACAATCAGCTCCTATGGAAGTTTTGAATCAGTATCTGGTGGCTGTAACAGATTGGGTACCAAGAAACGGTGTGTAACTGGGTGGAGTTACTTCTCATTCATAACTATCTTGTCTGTCCAGAAATATCTACCTACCAAGAGTTATACTTTCCTTAGAACAGCGGTCCCCAATCTTTCTGCCTTGGAAAGAGGGGATGGTTCTGTGTGAGTCGTGAATGTGTGCGTACAGCTCCATTTGCTGCTCGCACAAGGGGAGCTTCGCATGTGAACATAAGTGCCCATCACTCGCACAAGGGGAGCTGCATGCATGAGTACAAGCACCCGCCACTCACACAAGGGGAGTTGCACATATACACATGCTCTCCTAACACTTTCCGTGGCCTGGTTCCAAACTTGCTGTGGCCCAGGGATTGGGGAGCCCTGTCTTAGAAGAACTAGTCTATACTTTGTTGGTCCACATAGATTTATGGTTCCTGCTTGGACAGCAGGTAGAAGCTCTGTGGTCAGGACTTCTTTGCCCATTTTTTTTATAGAAGTGCAAGTTATAGCGCCACTTGGCTCACGTTCAAGAATATGTTCTTAAGAATATGTAACCAGGAATAGCATATGTCAACAAACAAAGCTACAGAAGAGCCTGAAGCCAGCATCAATAGAGTAGTAGTTCAAAATAAGCAGAAGTCCCACATGTAACTGAATTAAGAAAGATGATTGAGGAATTAAGAGGTCAGGTGGAGTAGGAACTCAAATTAAAAGAGCCCACTAGAGAATGAAAAGCTATTAAAGTATGATGGAAAAATGGATGAAGAATGTCAATAGAGGATCCACTCTTGATCAGGCACATTATAAAAGAGGTTAATTATGTAACAAGTTTGCCATCATTTTGCTCTTAATGTTATCAGTTATCCCTGGTGGAGGCTAATTGAATGGGAAATCCTTCAGTCACTGATTATTTGTACTTACATACCAATCATGTCAGTGTGACTATTGTAACTTCAGGAATGGGTTGTCACTTTTTCCATCATAACTTTGAACTGTTGAGGATCCACTCTTGATCCTCAACAGAGAAGGGTAGAAAAAAGTAAAAGGACTGCCTGTAGTTTTCCATGATACAAGGTATGCATTGTACAACTGAAGATAACTAGATAACCTGAAAAAAAGCTATAAATATTCTTAACACTCAGCATTTTCAAGTGTTTGCACAGCACACCTGCAGTGTTTCTGGAAGACAAGATGGCTAACAGCCAGCTTTCTTTTCTTAAAACAGGAATGTCATTTATTTACAAATGGTGACAAATAAATATTCTCTAGAATAAAACTCACTCCCTGCCTTGGCCAGACAAGTACAACAATCACAACAAAAAATGTACCTTTGCTCAAAGCAAGTACAGAAATTGAGAATTGGTGTTAGTTTCCATTCTAAGTAAGAAAACAAAGGCTATAAATAAATTATATATAAGTAGCTAATGATGTACCTTCTCAAATGTAAGAACTGTTGTTTTTGAAAATGAAACAGAGGAAATAGTAGGACATAGCTTCCAGGTTTATAGTACAATTTGAAGCCACAACAATCAGATTTGACACAAAGAAAATCTCAGTTTCAAACAAAATCATACAACTCATTTTTCTCACTGCTTATAATCATTTTGATAGCATTAGAAAAGTATAAACCACATTACTGATTGCTGGGATTTTTTTTTATGGCATCTCACTGGCTTCTGAGATTTTAGAAGACATTATCCATAAAAATATGGCTTCCCACTCATAAGGTTTTGTTTCCCAAATAAAAGCATCCAGACAATTGAATGCCACAGATTTTCTTCTGAAACTGAAACATACAATCCTAAAAACTTTTGATGTCCTCAAACTTTTCATTCTGAAAAATCAGTGGCAGCTGGAGTATGTCTATATAAAAGTAGCTTTCAGAGTAGTTTCAAATGGATAAAGTACAGCAACTAACCTGACCAGGGTCTGATTGTGTAGGTCCCATACTGCAATGTTCCCATCGCTACAGCAGGAGAAGCACACCTTGGAATCAGGGCTGATTGCTAGAGCATAGCAGGCAGGAGCCGAAGATGTCAACTCTGCTTTTATACGTGGAGTGGGCGCTGCCAGGTCCCAAATGGATAACGTGCTGGCTTCCCCACCAACGATCAGGGTGCATCCATCGGGTAGTAGCTTACAAGACCGAATGTAGTTATCTCTATTCTGGAGAAAAACGCATGGCCTCAAATGTATATAATGCACTAATGGGCTATGATATTTTTCTTATTTCAAACCACTTCAAGAAAGAGATTATAGGACCTCTCTCTGATACGGATAAATAATCCAAAAATAAAAAAGAGATGGGAAAAGTAAGGCGCTATTATAGATTCCAATCCATAAACTAAAAACAATTGTCAACATTTTCACTTTTAAAACACACATTAGTAAAACTTCCATAAGCATCTAGAAAATACAGTGCTACAAACAATTCCATTTTCTTAGAAACTGCAATAAGATAGTTCTTCTCTGTGGCAGATGCACTGCATTTTAAGTTAAGCCACTTGAAGCACTGCAGCTGAACAATGTGTATTTTTGGCAACATTGGTATCTTGTAATATGGTGGAAGTAAAGATACAGTGGAACAAATTATTTATAGCTTGCTTCTAAGTACATTTCATCAAAATTATTGTTTTTATGGTAGAAATAACCTCAAGACTAAAGTAAGCTTATCTGAACCCAGGTTTTACTATTGGATTTCAATGAAACCATCTTTATTCAGAATTTCTTACCAGACAGTCCAGTTGAGAAACAGGACTCTTATTGCCAGGTTGGCTGATATCCCAGACTTTGACACAGCCTTTTCCACCAGTATACACATGTCTTGTTGGATTGCTTATGGTAACAGCACACACCACTTCCCCATGGTTCAAGGTATTGATCTGGCGAGCATGCCGAGGTATTCCCGGTCCAATGAGAGCATCTGGAGGGAAAGGAACTGGCTGCATCTGACCATCTGCAGTAACGTGAAACGAATATGCTCTGGGTAGGGAAGAGAAGAAAGGGGCAGACAGTAGGGGAAGAAAAAATCATTGACACATTTCAAACTGTGAGTGTACATCTATCTGCAACATGCTATGGAATGCAGGTAACCCTCGACTTATGACCATTCATTTATCAACCGTTCAAAATTATGATGGCACTGAAAAGTGAATTACAATCAGTACTCATGCTTACGGTCACTGCCGCGCCCCTGGGTCATGTGATCAAAAATCAGGCACTTGGGATTTATGATAGTTGTAACATTCTGTGTGTGTGTGTGTGTGTGTGTGTGTGACATGATTGTCATTTACAACCTTCCCAGAGGGCTTCTGAGACAGTCAATGGAGGACATTGGATTTGTTTAACAACCACAGCAAAAGAGGTCATTGGGTGTGACTTGCTGAATGACCACATCTTTTAGTGATAGAAGTTCTCAATTCTGGTTTTAAGTTGAGGATTACCTAAAGCTGTTTCTATCTGAACAAAGGAAATCAGTAGCACAGAACAGATAACATAGTTTATTTTTCACAGTGACATTAATCAATTCTGAGCTGATGCGCCTTTTCAGTTCAAATACTTTTCCTACCCTGTCAACAGTTTTCTAGAGCTTCATTAACCAGTTCCTAGAGGCTAAATACATAGACTAGAATGTATTTATTGCGGGAATGACTTGTCTGAATTCTTCAATAAAGATCACTGAAATTTGATTATATCCTAATTCTATCTAATACAGGTAGTCCTCGACTTACAAAAGTTCATTTGGTGACCGTTCAAAGTTATAACAGCACTGAAAAAAGTTACTTATGATCATTTTCACACTTATGACCTTGCAGCATCCCCATAGTCATGTGATTTATATTCCGATGCTTGACAACTGACTTACATTTATGACGGTTGTAGTGTCCTGGGATCATGTGATCTCCTTTTGCAACCTTCTGAAAAGCAAAGTCAATGGGGAAACCAGATTCACTTAACAACCATGTTACTAACAACTTCAGTGATTCAGTTAACAAAGGTGATAAGCAAAATCGTAAAATATGGCAAAACTCACTTAACAAATTTCTCACTTAGCAACATAAATTTTGGGTTCAATTTGGTCATAAGTCGAGGATCACCTGTAGTTCTGCTACTAAAGTTCTTAAAATTTATTTAAAAATATGCCACCTAGGCCAAGATCAAAGTTACATGTATGTATGATGAAATCAATACACTCATTCAGTCAGAAGCCCTAAGCATTTCAGATATGCACCAAAGAAAGAAAATAGGAAACAAAAGCCTCTTTTCCTGTCCCCATCCATATTATATTTTCATTTACCACTAGCTTTTAGAGGTCTCTCCTGAATTTGAAAACTATAACAAAAAGAACCATATACAGTAACTATCATCTTCAACATATAAATAAAAATAAATTTCCTTCCAGACATGTGTCTAAAGATTTTGCAGATTTTTAATTAGTTGATCAAGCATGAAATATTGGCCTTGTTCAGATATAAGATCTGACTATCATTCATGATCTTACCACATGACTATAATACAATTTTTCAGGACTAATATAATCAAAATGTGTCATTAAAGTAACTGGGAAATTGTTGTCTTTTATCTGCTTAGGAACCAGGATATGTTCCTGATTGCACATTCTAGTTTATAAACATAAATTAAGCCAACTTCTCCATGCAGATTGAAGTGTTTAATCAATAACTGAAATATCAAAATGTGACATGAACAAGGAATGGACAATAATGTAGCAAAGAGCCATAAAAGTACATTCTCAATCCAAGAACCTAAAAATATATTAAAGATATTATGTCTAATCTGAAACACTATTCTTCTTCGTAAAAAGATCACCACAACCACATGCCACTTCCTTCATCCAATAAAATGCATGCAAGAAAATTTTGAGATCACAATCTATATAGAATACAAAACAAGTCTTGTATTAGAATAAATCAGTAGCTACAAGTTTTATGGAGATGGAGTTTCTGATGTTCTCTGTTGTTGGACTCCAAATTTCATCAGCCCCTGCCCCAGCATAGTCAGTGGGCAGGAATATTTTTGTAAGCCATCCATAGCCATTTGCCAATTAGATAGTGGCATATTAATTTAATAAATAAGTAAAAAATAAATGATAAAAATGATAGTTGAAATTAATCAGCATCTGGAAGCCCAGATGTGAGGAGGAGGTGGTGGATAGGAACAGTCATGTGCCTTACTTTCTCTTAGAATCTTGTCAAGCTAAAAAACATTATTGTTCTCATTACTGTTATTTTGAGCAACCAGAACCTATTTCTATCGTAAATGTCATGTTAGTTCAGAAATCCATTTTGCTAGAAAGAGAACAATATATATTGAACAAACACAAATTCACATTCATGCACACACGCTCCATCCTATTGACTTCTTGAACTACGAATGAAAGTGGCAAACCTCCTCCAGTCAAGAAGAGACATAGCAAGGATCCTGCATTTCATTTGCCAAATAAATTCAATGTGACATCCTGATTTGTGTGCCTGAAAGGAACTAGTTTTCAAACTCAAGCTGAAAACTCTCCTGCTGTCAATATAAATTTGCAGTACACAGGGCATTATCTGAACTCCTACACCAGAAATTTTCAATAGACTTATCTATCACAGATAAGGCTATAACATCAGAAAGTTGCTATGGGTAACTGAAGACATCCTGCTGCCTTGGGGTGATCAGGCGTAGTGTCAATCTAGTTTCAAAAGCAAATAATGAAAGGAGATCAACTCAGCATCCAGGATTTTCAAAGTTTATCATGTCTATTTATATAGTACACAAAGACTAAGAAAGAAGCAGCTTTTTTAAGGCAGAAATAATATACAGTGGGTATATTTTGTGTAGCAATCAAAGAGAAAGGAACCAGGTAGTATTATTATTATTTAGTTCAAACAAAGAAACAAGATTGGGGAATAATAACCAGAAGATCTGGGGCTTTTATGACCCTGAAGTTCTCAGATCCTGATTCATGAAGATTTTACTTTTCAGCTTAACTGAATGTTTTGCATCAAAGAAAAAAACTGTCAAAGAAAAAAAGAAATCCCCCATTAAAAGTCCGAACATTAGTATTTTAAATAAAAACAAAAAAGTAAAAACTGCCATCAAAATCCAGAATATATCATTAATACATAATATACAGAAACTTGCCTGCTGAGATAGACATGCAATTGGAGAAAGAAAACAAAACAGAATTCTTTTATGATGTTTTGGGTGTGTATGTGTATTGTAGGTAACGAAGAACTGATAGGATGCATAATATTCCACATTTACAATTTAAGCCCAGATCAAATCTCAGAAAGGATCCTAGAAAACAGGACTTCAGTTCTTAGATATCTGGAGTGCTCCAGGGATACTAACACCACGCTGAATCAAATAACTAACAAGTTATAAATAACAGGCCTCTGCAGATCAGCTTTGGTATGATTTGGTGGTCTGAGATTCAGAGATAAAGTGATTTTGATTCAAGACACTTTGTGATTTGATTTGGGAAAGAAATAATCCATAGGCTATAAAGGAAAGGCATATAAATACCTGCAGCTGTTTATTTTTTTTAGCAAAAGGGGTTTTAAAAGATAAGGATGATATGATTCTCTAGAGAACATTGACCCTGCCTAATTTCTGTTGAGCGTTTTATAAGGTTTCACAGGAAGTTTTTTTAAAAAATAATAATTCCTCTTCATTTTCCAAGGCCCAGATCACCAAGAAGAAGAATTTAAGGAAGTCATTGGCATTGGCATCCTTCAGTCTCAAGAGACTTTGGTATCGTGCTCTGGAAAGAGATCCTAGGAAAGCATCTAGTGTGACTAAAAAGGCCAATTCGAGAGTGGCAATCCCTTCCACACTGAGGGCAGATACATTCTTTCCCCTGCCCAGCCCCCAGATTTCGCTGGTTCCGGGACTGCCTCTTTGCCTCAGCCTGCCGAACAAGTGTCTCTTCGAATTGGAGAAGGCCATGCTGCGTCTTTAGCCTCCAAGCTAAACAATCGGAGGTCAAGGTTTCCCAGTTGTTAATGTCCATTCCCAGGGCCTTTAGGTCCCTCTTGCAGATATCCTTATATCGCAGCTGTGATCTCCCTCTGAGGCGCTTTCCCTGCACTAATTCTCCATACATGAGATCTTTCTGAATCCAACCATCAGCCACTCTCATGACATGCCCCAGCCAGCGTAGATGTCGCTGTTTCAATAGTGTATACATGCTAGAAATTCCAGCACATTCCAAGACTGCGCTATTTGGAACTTTGTCCTGCCAGGTGATGCCAAGAATTCATCAGAGACAGCATATATGAAAGGTGTTCAACTTTCTCTCCTGCCATGCGTAGAGGGTCCAAGATTCACTGCAATACAAGAGTGTGCTCAGGATGCAGGCTCTATAGACCTGGATCTTTGTATATTCCATCAGGTTCTTATTAAGCCATATTCTCTTTGTTTAGGGAAGTAGCCTTCAAATTATACCTCAAAGTCTAGGCTACTGATCCAAGATATTGAGAAAGATTCCTGGGGGAGGGGAGAGAGACAGAGACTCAAGTGAAGAGTTCCCTCACTGTTGACTTTCAGAGGAAAACTTGAGCTCTTCTGGGCAGGAAACAGAAGAAAAATGCTAACTGGGACAGCATAGCTTTGCTGCTTCTGAGAGTTCCTTTTTCGATATGTGTGGGATATTGCCAGGGGTTCTTTTTAAACCACATCCAATCATTAGATTGACTCAGACCTAGGAGAGATACAAAAGCACTAGTTCCTACATTAGGGGTTTTCCATTATATCTCTCTATAAGGAAGGAAGAATTTTTTTTATTTTGTAAGGGTGTATTACAAAAATCATGCACAAGATATATGCAAACATACACTTCCCACTACCTCTGTCTCTATTCTAGTACTATAACAACTTTTGTTTGTTTGCTCTGTACTCTTAACTATTATATAGCTCTGTTTTCTTCTTACAAAACTAGTTGTCTTAATTGTGTTTTCTTCTACTTTTCTTTCTTCTTTATTGTTGCTTTTTAATGGCCAGGATGTAAAACTCTTGCACCTTTCCAAGTTGTGCTTTCTCTTGCTGGGCCTTTTGTATTTTTTCTGAGGACCATTCACTCCCTCTCTGAAGGAAAAACTCCTTCTTTCATTTGGTTGTGTACTTTGTTTATTAGCAGCTGCAGAACTCCAAAACTCACAACTCCCCCATTCTCCTCCCTCACCTGTGTCAAGATTGCAGCTTTACTGGCAACTCTGCCCTTGGGAAAAGGTTCAAATGGCAGGCAAGGAAGGCAGCTCAGGTGCCTGCAATTTTGTCAAGGAGACTGCTCTTCCCCAGATCGGGAGACGATGGAACTTTGCAAACTGGAATTCTCCTAGAAAAGACTCTTCTCTGGAGGTAGGACTCAGTTGTGTTAGGATTATGCTTGCTGGTATTAAGGTAAAGATAAAGATTTGTCTTTCCCAACTCTAAGGGGCAGTGCTCATCTCCGTTTCAAAGCCGAAGAGCCAGCACTATCCGAAGACATCTCCATGGTCATGTGGCCGGCATGACTAAACGCCAAAGGCGCATGGAACGCTGTTACCTTCCCACCAAAGGTGGTCCCTATTTTTCTACTTGCGTTTTTTACGTGCTTTCGAACTGCTAGGTTGGGAGAAGCCGGGACAAGTAACAGGAGCTCACCCCGTTACGCAGCACTAGGGATTTGAACTGCCCACCTTTCGATTGACAAGCTCAGAGTCTTAGCCACTGAGCCATCACATCATGTTATTATATTATAATAATATAATAACATAATGTCGTAATGTTAGGATTATGCTTGCTAGTATTACTTTATATTAATTAGAGAGGCAGCAAAACCAGGCTAGCACAATAAGAAGTGATATGTAAAATCTTCAATTGTGCAGAAATGGACAGACTCACTTTGTAACTCAAAAATAAAAATGAATCAATATATTATGAAATCTGGACTAAATTTTATGAATGGTTAGACAAGAGGAAGAATGCCAAGAAGAAGGTGTAGTGAATGTCTAGAAATATATATGTCAATGTATACTGAACTTGTGTGTGTGATATAAATTTATTGGATATGGATATAGTCGTTTAGGAGGAATTATGTAGTATGCTTGACATGTAATGAAGTAAGATATATGCAAATTTGTGTATAGATTAAGGAATATATTATTTATTAATTTGAATTAGATTGAAATGTTAGAAACCGGAGATGTCAAACCATGTCCTTTTTTTAAAAAATTTGAATTATTAATAAAAAACTTTAAAAATTAAAAAAAAACAGGCTAGCACAATCAATTATAGTCAGGCAGAACATAGATAGGCTACCTAAAATGATATGGCCCTGCCACAACTTATTGTTAAAAGTAGCTAACATTTAGGCCAACCCTTGTGTTAGTCTAGCATTCATATATTCATTTTTGAGAGATTTAAACCATTTCAGGCAGAATTTAAAAGTATAGTTTGATTCAAATTGCTTATTGAACTGACTGGTCTTCTTTTCCGATTAACCTAAACAAAGAAGCTGAGTACTGAGAAAGTAAACGGCACCCAATTACTATTAACTTCACACGTTCTAAAGAGAGTGCAATAATGTGAGTGTGGGTGACAATAAAACTCAAAGGCCAGCCACTCAAATCTGTCAGAGAGCTCCTCACACCCCTCAATCCACCCAGCCTCCCTTTCTCTCAAGTTGCATAAACTCTGATAGCACCAGAAAAGCCATCAATTCTGAAAAAACGTTGTGAAAGACCACAAAGCATTTCAAAACCAAAGATTTCAAGCAGGTACCCTCTTTGATTTGTGAATTAACGCTAGTAACATGATTTGAACAAAGTTCTTTCATGATGAAACTTCGTACAGCTCTAATATATACACTTTATTTGCAGAGAATTACTTAGGTTGCAGAACTACTTTTCAAATGTGGCATTTGAATTTTGCTTCAGAATAACGAACATTAGGAATGAAACATGCAGAGCAAACATTTTGTAAAGAATTGAAATGTGACTGACAGGTTTTATTTCTGAACTCTGAAGCAGAATATTTGCCTTGCATTCCCATTCTACTATCTTGCAGCATAGGAGCAAATGAGTAAATAATGTATTCAAATATTCTGAAATTGTTTGAAACTTGAAAATGAAATTATCTTTTAAGTCATACTAAACTTAGAAGTGGGAATCACCATTTTTAGCACGTATGTTTTTAGCTTAAATGCAAATTAAAACTATGTTTTATTTATCAGCCAATATTAAAATCCAATTTCTTTTAGTATTCTGGTAATGCAAAATTCTAAGAGACAACAAATCTTGCCAATATCTTCTGCCAACTAAATGGCATAAAAACAGTATAAAGTGCTTTGTTCAGGAATGGTAAATATTGTTAGACAAAAAGCATAAGTAGTCCTCAAATTATAACCACAATTGAGCCCCAAATTTCTGCCGCTAAGTGAGGCAATTAAATGAATTTTTCCCCATTTTACAACCTTTGTTGCCACAATTGTTATGTGAATCTCTGCAGTTCTTAAGTTAGTAACACAGTTGTTCAATGAATCTGGCTTCCCCGTTGACTTTGCTTGTCAGAAGGTGGCAAAAGGTGATCACATGACCCTGGGACACTGCACGCATCATAAACATGAGTCAGTTGCCAAGCATCTGAATTCTGGTCACGTGCCCACAGGGGATGCTGCAATGGTTATAACTGAGAAAAACGGTCATAAGTCACTTTTTTCAGTAAGTTTGAATGGTCACTAAATGAACTGTTGTTAAGTTGAGGACTACTTGTAGTCGGGTGGGCTGCAGGGGTTTGGGAGAACCTCTAGCTAAGACTCTGTGCAGTTCAGAAGACCCCCAAATTCACTTCCTGGATGGCCCCACCCACCCTGCCCCTCCCAGGAGTCCCCACACGGCCCATTTTGGATGCAGGTAAGTGCAGGGTGCGCTCAGGGACTTGGGGAGGGCAAAAAACGGGCCTACTGGAAGTTTGGGAAGGGCCTCTGGAGGGCCTGCGGAGCCTGGTTTTGCCCTCTCGGAGGCTCAAAGCCCCCCTTCCGTGGTGCAGGAGGCTGACTAGGCCACGCCCACCATGGCCACGCCCACCCAGGAACCAGGCAGAGAACCCCTTGCTAAAATTTTTGAAGGCTACCCCTGCCTGTAGTAGAAGATAGTAGCCTGTCTAGGAAAACTTATCATACTTGCATCTTGGGGGGTTGCTCATCTTTTACTATAAACATTGTGCTCTGGCTAATTTAAATTTCATTACAATTGTCAGAAATTACTCACGGTTTTCCACCAGGGATTCCAGCCAAATTGGGAGGGATTCCAGGTACTCTCATATGAGGGGGAGGATCAAACCCAACCTGATAAAATCAAAGAAACAAACAGGCCAATCAGTTAGAAAAAATACAAGACTACTGAACCCATAGTAGTTTTCAGAAAACACAAGTCTACCAAAATTAGATATGCGTGTTCTCATTTATTAACAAAGTCCACCATCATAATATATACTTCCTGCCTCATCTTTAAAAGGAGGAAGAAAGCCTGTTTATTTAAGAAAACAAATATTCAGTACAGCTGTGAGCTTTTGTTTGTTAACTACTGGTAACATTTTAAAAAATGAAGGAACTGAGACCTTAGTATTTCCCCTTATTTGAAAAATATTTTGTGTAGGAACATGTAAACATAGTAGGGGACAAAAATCCCGTGTCTAGAATTGCAGCATCCCTAATGTTCTTTAATGCTTAAAGAAGTGTGTTAGTATTTCAGTAAATTGTATCCCCCATTCAACAAGACTGCAAACCTACCATAGGGGAGCGTCCATAAGCAACTACAGCAGCTGCGGCTGCGGCAGCACTCATTTGCGGGGACATGTTGTGGAGACTAGCATAGGCAGCTCCTGGACTGGTCAGGTCTCCATTCATGCCAGCATGGGGTACCATTCCAAATGGAGCAGGGTAAGGACCTGGTACAGCCAGAGGTGTCCTCAAGCCAGCAGCTGTAAGAAAAGGAGACAGTCTCTGTATACTTGATGCAACATGTTTTTTTTTGTTGTTTTTTCCCATATTAATCTATCTGCATAGCAACTCCGCTTACACTATATGTGGTTGCGATTCCAATAACACAATAACTTCACAATCCAGTTTAAAGTTGAGTAACTCTGTTGTTCAAAGATTCATGAGTTTTCAAAGGTAAAAATTAAAGAAGTGTGGTGCCAACCATAAACTCAGCTAACATTTTTTCACTCTAGCAACCTCTTGTTGAGAAATACAGAGTGAGAAATGCAACCACCACCCCCTTCCAAAATGACATCAACAGGCATTTTCAAACATTTGACCTCACTACTGTTCTATTTTTTTCCAATTATTCCAATCAATTATATTTGCCATTTGCTATTACACAAGCATACAAATGGCCATAATAAACTCATTTTGCCAGTCTGGAATCTGATAATTTTTAACTTTATCACTATGACTATTATATTAATAAACATGGTCAAAATGCAAAAGAAAAAAAGTATTAGTCAGCATGCAGAATCCTCCTTTTCTTAAAAACCTTTCCAAGACTCCCCTCTATGCAGATAATCCTCTAATTACAATAGTAACGAGGACTGGGAATTTCTGCTGCTAAGTGTGACATCACATAACTACATTGATTATTGATGGTAATCTCAGCACTCCCCATTGCTGTTGTTAACTGAATGTCATCGGCCATTTGGTGAGGACTCACTCCAAGCCAAGCCATAGTTGGATTGGTCCTCCCCTTAACCTCAGTAAGGTTAAGGACTGCTGCCTATTAAGCTCGCACCCCCCCCCCCCATCTTCCCCTATCTATGCCCTTTTATGCCTCCTACATCTATGGTCCCTCAGCAGTGGAGGGAAGACAATTATAATCCTCAGATACATGATAACCACATCAAATTATATTAGTAGTAATAATTTCATGCATGACAGAAGATTTTATTTTACCAGCTTGGTTAACCAAAGGGTCCATGGTTGGAGGTTTAGCAAGACCGGGACGGAGACCTGGTGTAGCACTAGTTCCTGGAGTCGGTACATCACTTCGTGGAGTTGGTGTGCTGGATTTAAGGACTGGTGTGCTAGCCTTTTCATGCTGGCATCATTAAACAAATCAAATAAGTACTGTTATTAATCCAGGATAATGTATGAGTATTCAATTTCAACACCATGTGGCACTGTGAACTTTTACAATTAAATATCTTTGGGGGATCTCCTATTTTTCAATATTAGTAGTGTCTACCCTTCCTATTTCTACTAAAAAAAAAAGAATGATATGCAACATTCTTTAGTTGTATAGCTCATTGGCAAGACTTTACTAGTTATTTGTAATTTTTTTAACTCTTCAACTATTTTAATTCAAATATAGGACTTTTAAGGAGGTAAATGACAGAGTAATTCAGATTGCAAAGATATATTCTATACAAACCAATTGAAAAAAGAGACAAAAGGCAAATGTTATGCTTCAACTAGAATTCAAAAAGATGGTGATTTACTACAAAAGACTTGTTCTCTCTGCCAGAAACTTCATAAGGAAAAAGGATTTAAAAAAAAAATAGTTTACAAGAAAATAAATTATCTCCATGACCTCATTAAGAATGGATACAGCTTGAGTTTTTTTCATCCTTTTATTTTTTTTAAGATATACAGCTAAAACTAGACAAATGAACAAAAGAGAAATTAAAAACAGATTTACAACCTGTATTAAATTGAATACTGTAAGTATGTTCAAATGAATATTAGATTAACACTACATGTAAAATACGCTTTCATCATATTTGATTATTTTTAAAAGGAAATCAATAATAACTAATTACCAAAGGCAACCGTTATAAAAATAATCAGTCAGGATAAATGATTTAACAGGGTTTTCCAACTAATTTTAAACATTTTACCCTGAATGAAGGCAAATATCTGTGTCCCAGGATAATGATGTGAAATCGAATTTGGATTGGTCACTGGGACCAGAGATTTACTCTTTTGAGCTTTCAGGCTCATGCTACAGCCCATCTTCAGTTTACCCTCATTATAATAAATCCAGCAAAGTATAATATTTTAAAAAGAGAAATCCAACTTTGTATGTCACACAAGTCTATGGCTAGAATTATACTCCATAAATGGCTTCAACATTAAATTAATTTCTCAATCAGACTTGATTTTTAAATACAAAATGGTTTTGACATTATTGCATCCTTTTATAGCCTCGTTTGCCATTCTTCTAAAGAAAGGAATTCCATGAAATTTCCAATATGACACATAAAGTATCCTGATATAATGTATGAAGGAAATTATTTATGTAGGAATACAAGACTTAGAAACATTAACGGAAAAATAGTATCCCCATTTGGATTATTTTGTGTGGAAGGTGAAAAAATGGCAGAAACCCACAAAAGTCAATCCCAAATCAAATCACAACTGAAATTCCAACATTGGTTTTGTGATCAGATTTCATGATGTGGACAGTACCTAAAAAATGAAAAAAAGAAAGGGGAACATTGCCCAATAAATAATGAGCAGGTAGGGTTTTTTTCTTTTTCTTTTTCTTTGTTAATAATGAACTGCTACTACAGTTTTGATCTGTCTCACCACAAGAACTATGGTTACGTCACGAAGCTTGCACACAATGCAGTAATAAATAATGATTAATTGTCAAAATATAATACAATTGAGAAGAATACTTACCAAACCTATTTCTTTGGATTTCATGGAAGCAGAACTTCCTGATGAGGCAGTAGATGCTGGGCTACTAGAGGCATCTTTCTTCAAGATACGGGTTTTGTCTATGCCGTTCTCTCGTGGGGAGTGAGCAGGACTTGCTCGGGGAGACGAAGGGTCCTTTATGGGCAAGGATAGTAACAAAGACATACAGTTAGTGGTTGTTAATTTAAATGCAGTAAATTTGTACCCACCATTCAAAAGCTTTGACATTTGTTGTATATTATGTTAAATATATGACTCTATTGTAATTTATTTTATACCAGTTACAAATATCTACCACATAAAAAAATTATCTATGCTTTAAATCAGGGGTCTCCAACCTTGGCAACTTTAAGACTTTGGATTTCAACTCCCAGAATTCCTCAGCCACCTTTGCAAAGCTGGCTGAGGAATTCTGGGAGTTGAAGTCCACAAGTCTTAAAGTTGCCAAGGTTAGAAACCTCTGATTTAAATGTTGAACAGGACTATTTCAAACCACTAAGAAAAATGTTTGGTGTATTTCAGATCAAGTTCCCAGGAACAAAAGGGGGCAGTAAGCAAGATAAATAATTTTACATAAGTGTGTGAGAGGGGGAAAAAAAGCAAAAGTACTGTATTAAATTTCTACTGATCATAAATAAGCATGATTATATGCTTCCACATCACACCAAAAAGATCAGAATTGTTCTTTAAATGGCTTCCTTTCCTTTATATTTTCTGCACATCAACCCCTTCTTTTAATATATTCAGAATAAACATTGTTCATTTATCTATGATCATATGCACAATAAGAACTTTGAATAAGCAAATTGCACCATTTGCGGAGCTGCAAAAATAATGATGATGATTTCTATAATATTTTTTCCTTCCCATGTGTTTAGTCTGCTCAGTACTGACAGAATAAACACAGAGATCAAGGACTCTCAAGCATCCATAGGCCATGGGATAGATGCCTTGGTTTCTAGAGTCTGTAGTAAATATGAATTTAATAATAGTGTAAGTTCTCCCCACTGTTTGGCTTCTGTAAAGAAGATATATTACTAATAGCATGTTTATTTGTTAAATTTGTATGCCACCCATTTCACCATCAGGTGACTCTAAATGGCTTACAACAGAATAAAAACAATACAAAACCTTAAAATACTAAAATGTTAAATATTAACATTAAAATGAACAAAGATGGCTGAGGAAGAATGTGATATATAAAGATTCATGCAGGTTTCTAACAAGAGGTATTCATCCTATAGTCTAGAACAGAGGTCTTCAAACTTGGCAGCTGTAAGACTTGTGGACTTCAACTTCCAGAATTCTGGGAGTTGCAGTCCACAAGTCTTACAGCTGCCAAGTTTAGGGACCCCTAGTCTAGAATATTTATATTCCTTTCAGCTTTAGCTACAGTAAAAGAAACACTAAGCAAGTTACCTCATTAGACACATCCACAACTAAGTTGTCATCACTTTTATCTCCATCGCTGTCCTAAATTTAAAAACAATATTTAGAATATTGGACTTTAACAGTCTACTCACTACAACAAACAACAAAACAAAAATAAAGGGCACCCACTCATAACTCCTTTAACAAACTACCTTCCTAAGTGAGCAGAGTATATGTAAGTGGGTGCCCCAGAGAGAATTTCACCAACATTTGGATTGACTGAATGACAAATTGCAGGTCAGAAGGTTCTCCGTGTCTGGAACCTGTCAGATGTTCTTTCTTTGAAACAGCACTGTCCAAAAATAACCAAGCTGATAGGTCATGGGTGCAGAGAAGGGATGCAAAGTATAGTGAGAGAAAGCCCTCCTGGGTAATGGCCCATCTGCCTCGCTTCCATATTCTCACTCATTCTTACAATAGTTACATTTAGTGATCATTCAAAGTTACAACAAGACTGAAAAATGTGACATGTGATCGTTTTTCACAGCTACAACCTTTGCAGCATCTCCATGATCATGTGATCAAAATTTAGATGCTTGGCAACTGGTTCGTATTTATGACCTTTTCTGTTTTCCAGGGTCATGGGATCACCTTTTGCGACCTTCTGACAAGCAAAGTCAATGGGGAAGCCACTTTCACTTAACAACCAGGTTACTAACTTATCAACTGCAGTGATTCACTTAACAACTGTGGCAAGAAATATTATAAAATGGGACAAAGTTCACTTAACAAAATGTCTCACTTAGCAACTGAAATTTGGGACTCAACTGTGGTCGTAAGTCGAGGACTACTTGTTTCTTACTGTCTCACATATTCATTCTACCAGTTTCGTGATCACATGCCCTTTGCTGCTCTCTCTCGCAAACACCATTGCTTGTTTGCTTACATATCTCAAGACAGTTCTAGCATTACTGTTTGAATATAAGTCTAGTGTGTTTTTAAAGAGTGCTAAACTTACATATACAAGGGATATATAAACGTAATCTATCAGTGTATGTTAAGATGACTCTGTGAAAGAAAAGTCCAGTCTTTCCTGTAGACCAAGCCAAAATCCAATGGAGAATAGTGCTCAGCCACCACAAAAGGGGATATGTCCACTGTAGCCTAATGTGGCCGATAGGAGCTGGGCAGAATTTATCCTCTGACCATGTCACCAACCTATGATTAAAACATCCTAAATGGTGTCCATAGTCAGTTGTGTTAGGAGAAAGAAAATAATGCTTCAAAAATGGAATAGCTAATGTTGACTCATGAGATAAAGGTAATGTTACGAGGACATGTGATTTAAAAATGGTTGCCAGGGAACGTTTGTGCTGTTGTTAAAGGGACATAAGGATCAATACCGTACACATTTTCCAGTGAAAATCATATTCATTCCTTGTTCTTAGCAGGAATACGTCCCATTTGGGATATTTATATTCAAATTGAAGATTTTAAAACATAATGCCATACATGCAAATATATGTAACTCCAAATGCTAGTTTGGCAATGATATTCCTATTAGATGATTTATAAATAACTGTTTCTATTCTGCTATCAGCAGATGGTAAATTAATTAACACATAAATACCGCATCGTTCATCACCCTCTCCCTATTCCTCAGCTTCTTGTGAAAAAAAAAGCAAAGCTAGGAAATCAATGGCTATGTTGAATTGGTAATATGATGAATAATCTTATAAGCAAGGAGAGAAAGATTAAATATATAGCAACCCAACAGAAGTGCCTTGAAAATGGTGATGATTATTGTCAAACTGGCTATATTTTAGATGAAGTTTCTTACATAATGGCTTGAGTCCTTATCATCCACTTTTCTTTTCTTCATGTCATTGGAATACTCCGGTCCATTCCTTCGTTTATCAGTGTTCCTCAGACTCTCTGGGACCAAGAGTGAATTACTCTGAAATTACATAAAGATCATCATCTTCACCTTTAGAATCCTTTTATATGGATATTTCCAACAAGCACAATTGTGTTTTATTTTTTGTTCACAACACAAACACAAAAAACAGACTGCAAGTGTTGTCTTGCAAGAAACTTGTTTCAGACCTGCTGCATCGAGGATTCCATGTAAGGCAACCTACTCTATACAGTTTTCTTATTATGGTTTCTATAGGACAAAGTAATGGTGGGAACAGGACCATTTGTTCATGAAAACACTGATCACTTTCTACATGAAAATTATTGAAAATATATCATAGTTTACTCTTTATCTTCTTTTACTGATTATTAACATGCTTTGTGACAGTGTTGAATCCTGACAACTACTTGCATAAGTTCTTGCAATTTTTTTTCTGGTGGTTTGGCATTGTTTGCTTCCTAGGCCTGAGACAGAATGACTGGTCCAAGGTTACCCAGCTGGTTCTATGGCAAAAGTGGGACTAAAAATCACAGCCTCCTGGTTTCTAGCCTGGCACCTCAACCACTACACCAAACTGGCTCTCTATTAACACATTAACAATATTCATTTTAAACATAAAGTAGACGGGGAAAAGACATTCCCTTTTAGCTACATAACATGCTGTCCTCCAGCCCATGAGTCATCAGAAATGCCCTCTCGAATACTAAAAATATATTTTTAAAAAAATATGCTTATGCAAAACCTCTTGTCAGCAGAACAGAAAACCTGTAGTGCATTCACAGGTGACACAAGACACCTTAAATCAACTTTTTGTGTACAACAAGATTATGTTCTCTCATGAAAACACCAGTTTTATTTTATTTTTTAAAGTACGCCTGAATCTCTTTCAAAGCAACCCATGATATGAAGAGGCTGCATAGAATCTGACATTTACTTTGAGGCATGCCAATCAGGCATTATACTGGCAAATATTTCTGCAGAAGCCAGATGCCCAGTCTCTCCTGCAACCTAATGTCATATGGCCAAGAAGTTCATTGCCAAAATCCATAGGAATATCTACTGGAGCCTAAGGTGGCTAAGAAAACTGGGCATATCCTAGTTCCTGCTCCCATCACCATTGTCAGTGACACACTCCAGATTAATTTCATGACCAAAAAAATGTTGAGAAAATATCTTTTTGAAACTCAAACAGCTCCAAGTAACTTGGAAGCTATGTCCATTGTAGCTGGGGCTGAGAGAAAAGCATCATCATTTATATTTATATAATTTAGATAAAGGATTAGTGGGCCACATCAGTGCAACAATGTGAGGGAAAAGATTTCTGAAGTCCTGAGTTTTATATCATTGTATCTGTTTGTTTAGGAATCTGTTGAATTACTGGAGTGGTTTGGGATCAATAAAAGTTTAATTTGCTTGAATCTCTTATTATTCAAGAGTGACATTTCTTAGTGTCAGAAACTGCCCAGTATATTGGATTGTAAGAAAATAAACATAAGCGTCCATTTGCATGTATTTAACTAGAATAAAATTAAACCTAAATAAATACAAAGCGACCTCTATTACTTTATCTGGGGTTTGTTGGTTTCTCCTAATTTACTGCTAACACTCCCCCCCCCCTCTTAAACTCCAGTATCCAACTCTTGATCTGAAAGAAAGGCCAAAAAACAAGAGCAAGGACTAATCTTGTCCAGAATCTGCAGGCTACTTTCTTTAGATAATGTTAAGTACAAACTGTTGACCCAAAGGGGAAGAAAGGCATTTTAGATATTTCTGGGTCATGTGATAATTTGACATGCCTCCAATTCTCATCTTCCCTCCAGCTAAAGCATTAAACATGTCACAATGGGTTCTTTTAAGTTCAGGATTAGCATATGCAAGAAGGGCAATTTGTTCAGTGGTGTGTTAATGCCATGAACAGTGCTGAATGCAGGGCTGGGGGGTAGGGTAGAGTAGGAGACAGCTCTTTTCACAAAGGCCTGACAAACCTTTCTAAAAGTCACTTGTATAAGAAAGCATCATGCCAACAAGCTTTCTGAAATTTACACAAAAATCTGTTACATGCCTCACCACCATACTCCAGGGAATACATCTGTATATATTCAAACACTTAGGAAGCAAAATTATAAAAAGAATTCAGCTAAATAGCTGAAATGGTCAAAACGGAGTGCCCTATCAAATCCTGCACCTTTTAATAGCGGTGTCCCCCAAGGCAGCGTTCTAGGACCAACACTCTTCATACTATACATAAATGACCCTTGCGATCATATTATAAGCAACTGCATTCTCTTCGCCGATGATGTAAAAATATTTAACACCACAGACAATGCTGCTACCCTTCAAAAATACCTTGACTTTGTGTCGGAATGGTCTAACAAGTGGCAACTCCAAATCTCAACCAACAAATGTTCTGTCTTACACATTGGCAAAAAGAACCAGAACACAAAATATAAACTGAGTGGATATGACCTTGTAGATGACCCTCACTCTGTCAAGGGCCTTGGAGTACTCATATCTAATGATCTAGGTGCCAAAGCCCACTGTAACAACATCGCCAAAAAGGCATTAAGAGTTGTAAACCTAATCTTCTTCTCCGATAATATCACACTACTAACCAGAGCATACAAAACATTTGCTAGACCAATTCTAGAATACAGCTCATCTGTCTGGAACCCGCACTACATATTGGACATTAATACAATCGAATGTGTCCAGAAATATGTCACAAGAAGAATCCTCCATTCCTCTGCTCACAACAAAATACCTTATGCCACCAGACTTGAAATTCTGGGCTTAGAATTTAGCCCAGAATTTAGCCTTAGAATTTCTTAGAATCTAAGAAAACTTAGAACTACGTCACCTTCGGTATGACCTAAGCATAGCTCATAAAATTATCTGCTACAATGTCCTACTTGTCAATGACTACTTCAGGTTCAACCACAACAATACACGAGCAAATAATAGATACAAACTCAAGATAAACCACTCCAAACTTGATTGCAGAAAATATGACTTCAGCAACAGAGTGGTCATGCCTGGAATGCACTACCTGACTCTGTGGTTTCATCCCAAAATTCCCAAAATTTTAACCTAAGACTGTCTACTGTTGACCTCACCCCATTCCTAAGAGGTCTGTAAGAGGCGTGTGTAAGAGCACCAGCGTGCCTACCATCCCTGTCCTAATGTTTCCTCTATTTGTATCTATTTTATGTATCCAATCTATGTTTATACTTATTACCTAATACGTTCTTGATAAATAAATAAATAAAGGAGCTGCCCTGCCCAGCCAAAACATAAGGTCACTATGTTAAAGCAGTATAGACATCTGTATAGCTGTATCCTATAATGAAAAGAAATCATGGATTCACACTGCCTAATGTGAAGGGTTTGTTTATAGTACCATATATTACATTTTGAAGGCAAATTCTTTTATTTCTGCTTCTTCAACCTCAGCCTATGTATGGCTTCTTCAAAGCATAAGGGAGGGCCTCGTGAAAATAGCTGAAATGCAGCACATCTCTTTACTGCAGTGTTTCTTGATTGAAAAGGTGGGTTTGCTGGGTCAGTGAACTCATTAATCTGAGATGTAAGTTTAGATTCCCCCCCTTTTAAATCTCTTGATGGGCTAAGACAAATCAAAAGCAGCAGGGGAAAAATTGAGAACAAACCATTTCAGATCTGAAAATGATTTTCCGTGCTAACACAAACATACAGATACTTTACAGGAAGTTAGCAGTATATGAAAAGGCGGTTGAATGGTCATATTGCACTGACTATAAAATAGCTTGGTTGGGTTAGCAGAATGTGCTAACTGGGTTGCTGTAGCTTATTCTACAAACCATGTTTGTTTGTTTTTTTTAAAAAGAAACCTTGCTTTGCATGTATGCATAGCCAGCCAGTATTATAATTCTGGAAGAAAGATGAAACCTAAGAACAGTTCAGATGTAAAAATTATTTTACATCTTCTGTTGTTGTAGTAGTAAATCTATATCAGATGTATAAATAATTATATTAGCAACCTCAAGAGAAGGTTGAAAGTGAAATGTATCAACTGTATCTTGGAAGAGGAATGTTTTTATTAATTTTAATTGCTTTTATTTATTTATTTGTATACCACCTTTATTACTTTTACAAATAACTTAAGGCAGTGAACATACCCAACATGCCTTCCTCTTCCTATTTTCCCCATAACAACAAGCCTATGAGGTGGGTTGGGCTGAGGGTGACTAGTGCAAAGTCACAAAGCTGCCTTTCATGGCTAAGACAGGTCTTGAAGTCACAGCCTCCACAGCTTTCTAGTCTGGCATTTTAACCACTAGAGCAGGAGTATCAAACTCACGTTGTCATGGCGATGTCACGTGATGTACTGGGACTTTTTTTCCCCTTCACTAAACCGGGCATGGGCGTGGCCAACGCATGACGCATCTGGCCCCGCGGGCCAGGAATTTGACAGCCCTGCCCTAGACCAATTTGGCTCTATGTACAAATAACAACATAATAAATACTAATGATATTAGCCTTGGTATAGTTCTTTCATCAAGGTGGACAAAAAAAAAAAGTGAGTTGATTTGTCAAGGCATTGTATGAATTTAGATCACCCATACATTTGAATACTTTTCATTTTAGATTTGCCCTATGCACAACCTGGAATTAAAACAAACATCCCTCTAAGCTATAGACTTGGGTTACCGTGACCTGCTGGGTCAGGTCAAATGTTGTTGACCATAGGATCTTTACACAATGAACTAAACTCAACATTCAGGAATGTTTTGTATTATATCCAACTAATGAAATCTTGGAAAGAAATTGTGTAAAAAATCTTTTCTGTCTGTCTATCACAGACTAATTCTTCAAAAGGCAAACTGAATGAAATCAAATCTGCTGTGTAAAATAAAAATGATGTTCAAAAATGGATCAGATAAGGCCACAGACTGCCTCACTAAACCATGGGGAAGAGGCAGTTGGGCAGCTACTCAGAATGTTGTATAGTCCTCCATTTTAAGCCTCTCTTCCTCTTCTGTCCAGTATGGACATATGCAATC